GTCAGCCATTGGACTCTGCCTCTGCTCCCTCTTCCCTGCCTCAGTTTCCCAGTCCATGACATGGGAGAGGGATTTCTAGAGAACCTTGTGCTCTGCAACTCTGGGCCTTGTTAGCGCCAAAGCCTCTCCCAGCCAGTCACTCCCAGGAGCAGCGAAGGCCACGTAGTGGCTGAGGTTGGCCCAGGAGAGGGATCTCCTGCCCCTGGGAGGAGCACCAGGCAGGGACCACTCCTGTGGTTGTTCTGGAACTGTCGCCTAGCCTCCCAAGATGTAGATGATGGCAGGTTGAGGGTGCCCTATGCCAGGTGGTGCCCAGGTCCATTAAAGGCACAGCATCAGTCTCTTAGTGCACCTTCTCCACTGCCCAAAAGCTGTGCTTGTGGCCATGGTGCAACCTCATAGCCCGGGTCCATCAGGCCTGGAGCAGTGTTCAAGCTTCACACCCCAATCCAGGTGTGGTTTCTGGAATGCATCTGCCACAATAAACCCCTGGGGTTCAAATAACTGCTAGAAACATGGCTCCATGTCAGGGCTTGCCATTCCGGCATCAGTACTGAGTGCTCACTGTTATAGGAGCGGCAAGGCAGGTGGGGAGCCCTAGGCCTGTACAGCTGCTGACTGAGCTCCCTTGCAGACACAGAGGCCCCGAGGGTGAAACCGTGAAACTGAGCACAGCAGCCCGTGGGTAGAAGACACTGAGCCCAGGCCTCTGTGCCACACCTCCCTGAGGAGATGCAGGAAAGCAACCAGGTGTGGGGCCTGCCCAGGGTCTCCCCAGAGGCCTGTGGATCTTCAGGCTTCATCCAGATCAGGTGGGGTCCCTAAGCCAACCTCCCCCAGCCCTGCAGGCACAGGCACCTTCGCACAGAGGAGCAGAGGGAGGGAGTCAAGTTGGACAGGCTGAACTTCTTCCTCATGGGCTAGTTGGCATTGATGCCTCGGGCCGGGTCTGCAGTCAGTCCGGGGGCTCCTTAGGGAGACTGGCAGTGCTGGGAGACGAAGTCACCATGCCTGCCATGTCACCTCGGCACGCGAGTGTGCTGGGGACAGGTTTGCATCCCTCTGTTGTGCGTGTGTCACGTGACTGTTCAGTCGCCAAAGGTGTGGGGATAAAATTAATGGATTCTGATTCATCTGGAAAACTCCCTTCCCCACTGACAATGTCTTTGATTTTTTTTTTTTTTTTTTTTTTTTTTGGTTTATCTTTGCCAATGGCCAGCATGAAGTTAAACCAATATGAAAATATGGACATGTGCTCCTTGAGCCCTTGAGGAAAGGCTGGTCCCAACGTGGCCCCCACCGCACCCCTGAGGGCACACCGTCTCACGGGAGGCCCTCGAGCTTCCCCGAGTCCTGACCCAGATGAGTGGGCACCAGCGTCTTCCATTGCACACAGCATTTCTCCTGAGTCCAGATTCCTGTTTTCTCTGGAGACTGCCAAAAAAATGTCACCTACAGCATCTGCCTTTCTTTTCTTACGATTGAACTGGCTGTCCCCAGCAGATGAGTCTGTGGGAGCAGATGGGAAACTGACGGAAACCCAGGGAGGAGGGGGAAGCAGGGTGGCTGGCCACCTGGAGGCCAGGAGTTGGCCACTGCAGGGCACCCCTGCCCTTGTGGGTAGGAACCTCCTCCCTGGAACCCTGTAGCCTTCAGCAAGACTCAGAACACACACGTTGTCCCTCTTAGAATCACAGCATGTGCTTCTGTGCGAAGGTGGCCACAGCACACACGGAGGTGAGGACTCAAGCACGGCCAACAACCAGACTATACTCTCCACCTCCCATCAGTATGACCGCCAGCTTCTCCAACAAAAGGTTCTGGGTGGTGCTGGTGAGGTCCCCAGGGCACCGTGCTGTGTGTGAGTGTGCACGGGCGACTCTGATACAGCCCTGCCCTCAAACAGCTCCGGGATGTGTGGAGAGAAACATCTGGACACCAGTAACGTGTTTTGGCAGCATGGTGGTCACAGGCCCGCCAGCCACCAGCCTCTGTGCTCCATATGGGGTGCGGCTGTCCCTGGGACGGTCACCTACAGAGGCCAGCAGTTGGCAGGCCGTCTTCATCTGAGAGGCAGGGAGCAGGACAGAAGGAAAGGCTGCTTTGAAATCCTGTCCCTTCACCCAAACCAAGGATACCTGGGGATAAAGCAAAGCTCCCTAGGAGTGGACGCTGTGACATGTCTCCCCAGGTACCTCCCTGTGCACCCCCTATTCAAACCTGCTTCCCACAGGGACGCCTGCAAAGACACACTCTGAAAACTCATCCCAGGAGATGAGCGGCCGTGTGAACGGACCCTGCACACGACGGGAGGCTGCATGTCCACAGGAGATCGACTGCCCTGGGCTGCTGGGCAAGAGAGTGTAAAGGCTCCGAGTCGGCATGCAGAAGGCACTCAATAAGTGCTAGAGGAACTTGAATCTGCCGTGTGGGGATGACAGGGTGTTCCGAGCATCTGCTGGTGTGTAACACGTGACTCCTGAACTCGGTTGAAATAACAACCGTCAGTCCCTGAGCTCACCAGTCTGCAGTTTGGGGGTGAAGGGGGCTGAGAGATAGAGACAGAGAGAGAGAGGGGAAGCTGGTCACGTTGCTCCAGGAAGACATGTCTGGGCAGTCCTCCCGTCATGGCAGTGATGGTCGGGTGCGCTGCTCAGCTGTTTCCCATTAGAGAGAAGAACCCTTTCCAGAGGCCTCCCTCCCTTTGACCAGGTCAAGAGCTAAGGCCGAATGTTGCCTGGCACGCTGTGAAGTCCCGTAGGCCTGTGGCCCTGCCTGACTCTTGGGGAGCCTGCGGAAGTGAGGAGGGGTGGCCAAGAGGATGCCAGGAGGAGAAAGATCAGTTCGGGGGAATTAGCACCAGGCCAGAGGGCAGGAAGAACAGCCGTCCCCACTCCCCACTTAGGGTGGCCAGGCCTAGAGCCTGCAAAGGGGTCAACCCTTGAAATTCAGAAGTCCTAGGCCAGGCTGCCGGCTCTGAACCTCACCTATGAATTCTCCTGAGCCACTCCACATCCCTGAGCCTCAGTTTCCTCATCTAGGAAAGGGTGAATCACTGCACTTTCTTCCCAGCGTGGGCGAGTGGCATGTGATGCTCGGGGCCCCACTGCGTGGCATGGAGACCCCTTTTCTGACAGTGAGATCACCTTAGTTCCCATACAGCTGTGTATTTTGTCCCTCACGTTTGCACAGCCTAAGATTTTGTCTGTTACCGCCTACCCTTGAAGGGCCGGTGAACCTCCAGCCTCTTCCGCATGCACCTGCAGCTGCAGCCTGAGTTGATGGCAGGGCCTGCTCTGCCCCCAGGCAGCAGTGGAAAGAGTCAGGAGTCCCTCATTTCCACACCTGGGTACTCCCTAACCCTACAGGATGGATCTTTTTCAGCAACTGGGGCATCTGAGAAGGAAGTACAGTGCATAGGAGGAAGAAGAGTGGCTGGTGAAGCATTTCAACTTCATATGCTAGTTGCTAAAGGCCTTTCTGCAGCTGTCTCTAGGTAGGAGGGCCCCATGTTCTCCAGTGGACGTGTGTGTATGAGGAGGTCCCCACTGGACTCCACCAGTGGTCCCTGGAGTCACAAAGAGCAGGTGGCTATACCCTCAGACTTTACCTATGGGGTCACTTCTGTGGGCTCTGACCTTGGCATACCTAGGATGATCTTGCTGGGGACCTGGGAAGAATGCCAGGGAGCTGCAGAGTTCCTTTCTTGACTTGTGAGCTGGACAACAGGCCCTCTGTGCTCAGGATCCAAGGGGCTCCTTCACTGGACCCCAATGGGCAGGTCACAGAAGGTCTCACTGGGCCCGGATGGACACGTCACAAAGGGTCTCCAGAGGAAGCTGTCACCCTTCACAGGAGCTGCCATGAAGGGCAAGTGATACTGTGTGCAAAAACATTGTGCAAAGCAAAGCAGACTGCACAAATCCAGAAAATGTGGAGAACAGGGGGCTGCCCAGGCATTTGGTATCATTTGTAAGTAAGACAAGAACTGCAGGTTCCAGGAGGTGGCGGGTGTGCTTGGCAGGCGCTGGGCTGTGATTCTCTGACGGGTCTGATGGTGCCTGAGGCCGTCCTCTGAGGAAGGGCCACCTGCTCCGTGTGAGGGAGAGAAAGCACTGCCCGCGCCCTGAGAGCTGATGTTATGCCTAAAAGAAACGCACACAAGCAGAAGTGTCCTCGGCCAGATTCTCCCTCGCTACAAACATGTCTTTTGGCCAAAGAGAAATTCTAGTTGCTCTAAAGACAAAATCTGCAGAGCCCGTCTTATCTCTGGCATTGCCACTGCCTTCTCATCCTGCCATGTGGCCCTTCCCGTTGCCCAACCTCTCTCCACCTCTGTCACCTGACAGACCTCTTTTTCCAGGAGCCCCTCAGCCAGCGGGAGTGCACTCCCAGCTTCACCGCTAGGCATTCCTAATGGAATTCTGCTTCTTTTTCATTTCTTTCCAGGCCTCCTTTTATCCATGAATCTTAAAATTTCCTAATGATTTAGCTAGTCCTTGGAACAGAATCCCTTGTATGGAAGAACATAACAGCTCAGAGAAGAAAGACACGTGGCCAAAGCCACAAACAAGGCTAAGGGCTGCACCGTGACTGGAATTCAGGTTTCCAGGCCAGACCCTTCTTTGCAGCCTGGAGGAGAAGGATAACACATCAGCAGAAGCAAGCCGGAGATGCTGCAGTTAGCAGAGGGAGTGAGCTGAGGAGGCACTTCTTCCACTCAGGGAAACAGCCAGGAGCTGCCAAGTGACACACTCTGACCAAGGAGAAGCTTGCCAGGGACATCTGAGACACCTTTTCCTTTCCTCATGGAAATGGCAAACCAGCTGGCACTGCTCTTCAAGAGTGGACGCAAAGCCTGGAGAAGCAGCAGACATCCCGCAAAGGCGAGAGAAAGGCCAGGAGAGCCACAGAGCCTCTGCCCGGATGTACAGCTGCTGAGCCAACACCAACCAGCACTGACCCCCAAACCACCTGCCCCGTGAGAAAAACACACTTACTGGTTTACGCCATTGTTTTCCGGGTATTTTATCACACACAGCCTGATTTATTCCCACATGATGCGGGTTTTCTGCCTAGAGGCAGCACACAGCCACTCCATCTCAGGGGAGCGATGGGTGCAGGAACAACAACAAATATCAGTCTCTTGACACAGTCGACTTTGTTGCTTCCTGACTGTCCTGCACAGCAGGTGCTCCTGGTCCGTGGAAACCTTCCTTCTGCACTTTTGCCCTCCCCGAGGTCAGCGGAGGATGCTGCATTCAGCCAGCAGATGGGAAACACGCGACAGTTGTCTATTGATGCAGAACAAATCACCCCCACAACTTAGTGGCTTCAAATCACAAACAGTTATGATCTCACAGTTTCTGGGGGTTGGAAATCCATGCACAGCTCAGCTGAGTGCCCCCACCTTGTATTCTTGGATGAGGGTGGAGTCAAGCCCTCAGCAGGGGCTTGGGTTTTATCTGAAGGTTCAACTGGAGTGGGTTCCATGTCTAAGCTCATTCATGGTTGTCGGTAGAATTCAGATCCTTGGACTCTTGGACTTGGAGCCTTTGTCCCTGGATGACCATTGGCTCCAGCCCGTGCTCAGGCCCTTGCCATGGGGGCCTCTGCCTGGTGTAATGCACAGCATGGCGGCTGGCCTCATTAAAATAAGGGAGAACGGGAGAGAGGGAGGGTGCTGGGACAGGACAGTGAGAGCAGAACAGAAGCCACCGTCTTTTTATGTCCCACCCAATTACTTCTGCAGGGTTCTGTGTAGTCGCTTCCATACTCAAGGAGAGGGGTCCCACAAGGGTGTGAATGCCAGGCGGTGGGGATTGCTGGGCATCTCGGAGGCTGCCTTTCACAGGCACAAAGGCAGGCCTGTGCCTTGTCCACCTGTCCTGGGGTGGCACACTTCACTTCTGCTTGCCTTCTCGTCAGGTGACCACACCTGACCACGAGGACGCTGGGAAGGTGATCTAGCGGAGGTCCAGGAGCCACAGGACATGGTGAGGAGTGACCACAGTCAGGCTCTGCCCCACCGGGTGGAAGCCCCCTTCCTCCAGGACCTGCAAGGCTCCCTGCCCTCATCGGCTCCCCCAGCCCAGGAGACGCTCTGTCTCACTTGCTGGAAGGTATTTTCCCTTCATGCTTCTGGCTAAGATACTCTGTACTTCAGATTCTTGCTCTTCCACTGAAACCTAGGGCTTGCGTTTTTGGAAACAAAATCCATAAATTCTCGCAGGGGATGAGATTTCTGCTTTGACTAAGTCATGACCCTCTGTGAGGCAGTGAGCCTGGCGCTGCTGACCACCTGCTTGAATTGGAGGATGGACAGAGAAGGAGAGATTATGGGGCAAAAGCAGAAGGATAGATGCCCTCTAGGGAACACAGCATACATTTGAATCCCTCAACCAAGGACTCTGATGATATCAGGCAAGCTTGTGTTCCCCCGCAAATACCTGACCTTTGCTACTCAGGTGGGAGATGAGTCTTGGAACCACGTGCCTTTCCCATTGGGCTGCTGGGAGTGAGTGGGACCCGTGTGTTCTGTGGAAACAGAGGCTCTCAACAGAGTCCAGCATCGGGGCGGGGCTGCCTCACTCAGAGGTAAGAATGTGGGTCAGGGTTGATGTTCCCTGAGAAAGTAATTTTAAAGTAATGTTGACTTGCTCCAACCAACACCCCCACAGACATCTTCACCATGCAAAAAAATGTTGTGTCTAATGCATGTGTCCTAACAATGAATCACTTCACTGGGGCATCTTAGAATGCCTGACACGCACGCCACGTGGCAGGTTGGGTCTCCCCACAACACTGCTCCAGTCCTACACACTCATCCAGAACTTGCCACCACTCCCGCTAAGTAGTGAATCTCTTTCTTCTGTTATTGGAACTTATGAGACTTGAGGGCCACCTCACTGAATAAAATGCTGCAGAAATGACACCATATGACTTCCAAGGCCAGGACATGCAAGATGAGACAGCTTCTTCTTGGACTTCCTTTCTGTCAGGACCTTGACCTTGTAACCAAGCCACCATGGTGTGAGGAAGGCCAGGTGCTCTGGCGGACAGCCCCCGCAAGGTCCCTGCTCACAGTCAGCATCAGCCACTAGACATGAGTGAGCACTCAGGCCACTTCAGACCCAGCCTGTAAACCCTCCCCGCTGGCGTCCAGGGCACGGGGAGAAGCTGTCCCACCCAGCAGATTCATGAACAAAATAAAGGTTGTCATTGTTATTAGCATCAAGAGTTGGGGTTTGTTACACAGCATTAGACAACAGCCACGGCACATGCTTCCTAGCGCACTGGCCCAGGTGGATAACTTGTTACGTGTACAGTGAGAGCCACCTGCTAGTGGAAGGGGTGACAATAGGCAATAAACCAGTGAAACCAAACAGAAGCAGATTCGGTTTAACACTGTTTTTCCATGGTCTTGCACTCTGACCGTGATCTCCTGGGAGACCAGGGCATAATGATCAAGCCACGTGCCCATGAATGAGGATGGAAGAGTGGAAGTTGTGTCCAGAAAGGGGCACGTGAAGACACTGCAGAATCCCCCATCCTCATGGCGTGCAGTTCTGGCACAGGTTCCCAGTGCAATGTGACACCCCCCTTCTCCAGGAAGAAGGGCCTGTATCCAGCTCACGCGCAGTGGCACAAGGGCATTGAAAAGGCAATGAAATGAAGTGAAAGTTTGTGGGGGCGCTGGAAACAGACCCCGCCTCCACTCCTCCCACTCACAGGAGATTGTCACCAGCCGATCTGCCAGGAGCCGCTCCTGCTGCCCTGGACCACACTCAGAATGCCCTGTGTGCTGTCCCCAGAGCCCAAGCCCCCAAGGCTGTGCTGGCCTGCACTTTCGGCTGCCCTGATCTCCACCTGCAGGAGAAGCTGCAAAGATGTTTACAGTCGGGCTCTGACACCCCTACCCTGTGCAGTGGACCCAGGTGTGTGGGGCCTGAAGACGCTACAACCTTGGAGACCTGCAAGAAAAAGAGAAAAATTATAAACACAAATTTAAGCATAAAAGTGAACAGTTATTTTGAATGAGAAGAAAATTGCAACCAATTACGACTCTTTAAAAACTGACAAACACCACAAGCATCACAAAATGAAGAAAAATAGCAGCATCAGTCATTTACTAATTATCAGCCTGTTGTACATTTCTCTCCAAATTTTGTCTGTATACTTTTTCATGGTCTCTTCATACAAGCACACAACATCATTTCTATGACGAAAATGGAAAGATAATCCAGTCCCCTCCAGCATGAGTGACCTCTTTTTTCTCTTAGTTGTTGACAGTTTAGAAAAGTTCATTTTAACTTGGCAGCCTATTGTTGGTAACGACGAGAGAAATTTTAGGATTCTTGTCAAATTTAGGAAAATCTCTACCATATTTCTTTCACACCCGATCTGTAAAATATTAATGCTTTTTATATTTTCTTGGGTAGTGAATGTTCTTAAAAATTTCAGATTGATATTCTGAACTAATTTCACTTTTGTTGAACAGATAGTGGGTTTTCAGGTGGCAAAAATTACAAATTCTTCGTAAGAATTTTTTCCCATTGGATGGGAACTACACATTAGAGCTCCTGGAACTTCAGTCTTATTAGCTTCATGTAAACTTCTCTGAGCTTGTGTGTCCCCAGGCAGGCGAGCCTCTCAGCAGCAAAGCCAGGGCTGTGCCATCGCCCAGCGCACAGGGCTGTGGGGAGTCAGTGCGGCCGTGCAAGTGCCAGCCCACTCCTGAGTGCTGGATACAGATGAGCTTTCTCATTACTTACTGCTGTACACCCTGGCAAATGTCTCCACAAGACTGTAAAGTGAATATTGGTGGCATGTGTTAGAGCAGCCCGGTTAGTTCTCCTGCAAAACACAGACCTTGGGAAACCTTGGCTAACTCTTGTTTGCTTGTTTGTTTTGTGAGGAGGAGTCTCGCTCTGTCACCCAGTCTGGAGTTCAGTGATGCGATCTCCGCTCACTGCAACCTCCACCTCCCGTATTCACGTGATTCTCCTGCCTCAGTCCCCCGAGTAGCTGGGACTACAGGCGTGCACCACCACACCTCGCTAATTTTTGTATTTTTAGTAGAGATGGGGTTTCACCCTTTGGCCAGGCCGGTTTCAAATTCCTAACCTCAGGTGATCGGCTTGCCTCAGCCTCACCAGGTGCTGGGATTACGGGCATGAGCCACCTCACTCAGCCAGCTAACTCTTTGGCTGTCACCCAGTTTTTAAAGGACAGCACTGTCTTTCCAACCCTAATGGAAGCTAATTTCTTGCTTATAAAGAGTTAACTAGAAATTAGCTTTCACTAGGGGTGGAAAGACAGTGTAGTCCCTTAAAAACTGGGTGACAGCCCTACCTGCACAGCCAAACACATCTATGAGAACGGTGTGGTAAAACAGTACACGTGCAGGTGAGAACGCTGCTGGGGGGAGTGCAAAAGGGGGGACAGCCTCCTGGAGACTGGCTTGGCTGTGCCCTAAAATGTCAGCCACATACCACTATATGACTCAGCAGTCTAAGTCCCTGGGCATTTTCTCTAGATAAATAAAAACCTGAATGTGGATGTTTATAGCAACTCTAGTCGTAATCAGCAAACACTGGAAAAGCCCAAATGCCCTTTAACAGTGGAATAAATGACGGCACGTTTGTGTCAAGGACCACTTGCCAGAAATAAAAAAGAACTAACTTGATACAGGCAACAACCTAGGGTGGGTCTCAAGAAGTCACGCTGAGCGAAGGTAGCTTTGCACTGTGGGGCTGATTCTGCTCCGTTCTTGAAGAGACACCACTGTGGGGATGGCAAACAGGTCAGCAGCCCCGGGGGTTTCGGTGCAGGAGGGTGTGGCTACACCGGGCAGCAGGGGGCGTCGTGCTGATGGAATGTGGTGGTGGTTACACAAATCTCTATGTCTGTTAAAACTCACAGAACCACGCACAAACAATTAATGCTACTGTGTGGCTCTAAAGTGCTGTTATAAAGAAATACCTGAGACTTGTGCTGCTGTAAAGAAATACCTGAGACTAGGTAATTTATAAAGAAAAGAGGTTTAATTGGCTCATAGTTCTGCAGGCT